TCTTATTTAGACAAAAGGGGGAGATGTAGGGATAAGTCCCACCCCTTAGGGGGCGTGTTCGCCTCAGGCTAAAGTTTGCCTATAAATTTGGCGAGCGTGCTCCCAGCATTCCCTTCTGCTTTCCTGGTCTCCGCGGGAACGGTGGTTCTGTAAGTCTATTCTTCCATTAAAGCTGTCTATATTTTGACAATCTGTCTGCATTCACTTATGCCGTTACAGTTGTTTTTCATTTTGTTTTGTTTTTCAGTACTGGGGATTGAACCCAGGGCTTCACTTATACTCTACAAATTCTCTAGTAATACTGAGCTCTATCCCTAGCAGGACATTTTAAATTAAATGTATTTACTAATTGGTACATAAAAACGATCCCAAGCTAATGGAATAACATATGATATTTCATTAAATGTGAATATTCTGAAATGCTTAAATCATAGGAAACATATGTATCTCCTCAAACAATTACCATTTCTTTAGGTTAAAACATTAAAAATCATTCTAGCTTTTTAAATTTTTAAAAATTTTTGTTACTTTAAAAATAATACCAATCAAAATTTCCACTTCCTCCCCTCCTCCCACATTCCTCCCACTCCCCCCACACACCCTCCTCCTCACCAGTCCCTCCAGTCCTAAGACAGGGCAAGACACCCTGCCCTGTGGGAAGTCCAAGGCCTTCCCCCCTCCATCCAGGCTTAGGAAGGTGTGCATCCCAAGAGAATAGGATCCCCAAAAGCCAGTACATTTGTTCTAGCTTTTAAAAAAGCATAGCACACTATTGTTATCTACAGTTACTCTACTATAAAGTAGGATGGCACTAATTTTTAGTCATATAATAGAAACTTTGTAGGCATTAATCAATATGCCTGCACCCTCTCTCCCTCATACTCTCCCTAGACTCTGGCATTACCATTCCACTCTCAATTTCAATTAGTTCTTTTATAGATTCCATATGTCAGTAACAACATGTGACATTTGTCTTTCTGTACTTTATTTGTTTCATTTAACATAATAATCTATAGTTCCATCCACACTGTCACAAGTGGCAATATCTCAGTCTTTCTGTGGCTTAATATAAGTACTCTTTTTTGTATTGTGTATAAGTACTGCCACAAGTTCAAGGACATTCTGGTCTACAAAGTGAATTCCATTCAGTCAGGGGCTAAGTAGCAAGACCTTCCCTTAAAACAAACGAATCAAGAAAGAAAAAAAAAAAAACAGTAAAGCAAATATGACAGTTATTCAACAATCAGTTGTTACAATGATAAATGAAGTTCAGGTCCATATTAAAAATTTTGTTCTAACTGAAGATTACCTCTTTGTCATAATTAGCCAGTTCAGGCTGCTCTGAGACTTTTAAGCTCTTTTAGATAGGTTGAGTGGGGGAAAGGTACTCATGGAAAGTTTGTGATTTGGGAATGCCATCATTATGTATTTCTAAAGTTTTGCATGCAAGTAACTAATGCAGTAATTTGAAAGAGGGAAGAATATGATTGGACTTCAAGTTGTGTATGTATATGTGTGTATGCAAAAAACTTTTATGGGAGATTTCTCTCAACTGAGTTTTAGGTCCATGGCATTAAATAACTAGCATATTGCAAATACAATCAATATTTTCTCCAGGGGCCCTTTCTCTCTTACATATACGGATTTGCCACTGTGGTTTCTTTCTGTTTTTTTGTTTGTTAGTTTGTTTGTTTGGTTGGTTTTTTTTTGTTTTGTTTTTCGAGACAGGGTTTCTCTGTGGTTTTGGTGCCTGTCCTGGAACTAGCTCTGTAGACCAGGCTGGCCTCGAACTCACAGAGATCCGCCTGCCTCTGCCTGGGATTAAAGTGCTGGGATTAAAGGCGTGTGCCACCACCGCCTGGCTCCACTGTGGTTTCTTATATATAATGATAATTGTGAGCAAGTTAAGTAGTACAGAAAATTGAGACTGTATTAATTTCTATGACTGACACGTATGTTGAGAGCAGTACTGTGATAATCTTGTATGTCCAGCTACTCTTTGATCGAAAAAATTAGAAATACAAGTCATGGTGTTGAACATATAACACGAGAGAACTGCCAACAGAGATGATGCCATGAATTTACCCTCCTCTCTGAAACAACTAAAAATTACTGAAAATGCAGCCATTGTCAATGATTAGGTTTCAGGTCATCAAAGACCTTGCTAGTGAAGGAGGAATATCAATACTGGCTTCCTACCTGAAAATGGGATTCAAGATTCCTGTAGATTTAAGGCAATGAAAGACAAATCTCAGTTTAGCAGCCTTCTTCCTTAACAGCAAGGCAGCCTACAGGAAAGAAGAAAAAAAAAGTTCAACTAGACTGAACACTGAATAAAAGAAAGATTCAAAGAGATAGACAGACAGAGATCCAGAGACCCATATCCTCTTGTTTCTCCAGAAAAAAAGGATCAGTGCATTGTATCTGAGGAAACTAAGTCTAAAAAGAAATGGAAAAGGGTCAGGAGGAACACAAGCTCTCACAAGTTCTTAAACCACCTGTTTCCCAACTAAAGGTGAGAATATTACACAACCTGTGAGTTGTGTAAAGCACTCAGAAGGCTACCGACTACTGTAATCCAAAATTACACATAAACCACAGCCTGAAAAATATATGCCCCTTAAATGAAAGAGCAAACCAGAAAGTATGAATTGATTCTTATATTGCCTTAATGTGAACTACACCAAAATACAAAAATACTTATAGGTATCTTAGTTACTTTTCTATTTCTGTGATAAAACACCATGACCACGGCAATTTATGGAAGGAAGGGTTTATGTGAGGTTTACAGTTCCAGAAAGATAAAAATATAACACCATTATGGCAGGGAAGCATGACAGCAGGCAGGCATGAGGATTGGAGCTGGAAGCTAAGAGCTAAGGGCTGACACCTTGACCAATAAACTAAGAGCCAAGGGCTCATCCCTTGAACCATTACCTAAGAGCTGATGGCTCACCCCTTGAACCATTAGCTAAGAGCAGAGGGCTCACTCCTTGAACCATAAGCTAAGAGCTGAGGGTTTACATCTTAAACCATAAGCTAAGAGCTGGGGGCTCATACATTGACCCATAATCTAAGAACTAAGGGCTCACACTTTGAACCATAAGCAGGAAGCTGAGAGCTCACTGCAAAGACAATGTAGCTTTTGAAATCTCAAAGCCCACTCCCAGTAACACAATTCCTTCGGCAAGGCCATACCTCATCTCTCCCAAATACTTTCACCAACTGGGGACCTAGCATTCAAATGCCAGAGACTTTGGTGGGACAGCTCTTTCAAACCACAAGAGACATCAAGATATTCAACACAAAACAAAATAATGATCAAGAATGTGCTGCATACAATCAAGAAGTGTGTGGCATGTAAAGAAAAGATTATATTACCTATTGTAAGAAAAATAAATAATGAGCTATGAGCTAGGTGCCTACTGGGGCTCAAAAGACTGAGACAGGAGAATTATGAGGCAGAGGACAGCCTGTGCAATACAGGCATACTGTGTGTATGTGTGTGAGGGAGGGAGGGGGAGACAGACACACACACACACAGAGAGAGAGAGAGAGAGAGAGAGAGAGAGAGAGAGAGAGAGAGAGAGAGAGAGAGAGAGAGAGAGAGAGAGAGAGAGAGAGNGAGGACAGCCTGTGCAATACAGGCATACTGTGTGAATAATGTTTGGGGAGGGAGGGGGAGGGAGAGACGCACACAGAGAGAGAGAGAGAGAGAGAGAGAGAGAGAGAGAGAGAGAGAGAGAGAGAGAGAGAGAGAGAGAGAGAGAGAGAGAGAGAGAGGGAGATCGATCATTGGTAGAATAGAATAAAAAATACAACAAAATTTAAAAATACCTTCTTATTAAAGAACACACAAAAGATTTACTCTGTTAATAGGATCATGGAGGCTATTTAACAGGCTTAATGGGCTGTGGAAGTGGTTCAGTGGGTAAACACCACACAAGCAGGAAGATCTGATTTTACACCCTCAGAACAGATAGAAAGCCAAATATGGTGGTGTGCATGTGTAACCAGAGGTGGCTGGCAAAGACAAGAGAATCCTTGGATGATCATGGGCCAGTTGGCAAACAGGAGACCCTGTCTCAAACATGGTAAAAAGGGAGAAACAACACCTGATAATATACTACAACCATGTGTGTACAGGTCAGACTCTATTGCAGAAGACTGAAATTATATCAATTATCTTCTCTGACCACAATGGTATAAGAATAGAAAGAAAGAAATAAAAGAGGAATTTTAGAAAATTTACAAATACATGAAAAAAGCAGATGGCACATCCTTGAAATATCAGTGCAGGAAAGAAATCAAGGGAGATTAAACAAATCATCAGAGCACATCAGAAGTGACGTCTATGAAAAATGGAAAAAACAGACAGGTTGTTGGGGAGCTGTTGCATATGATAGAATATTATTCAGCACAGAGAGAAAAGAATACCCCGCATTTACAACAATGTTGATTAATCTAAAGGATATTTTGCTAAATGATGTAAACCAAACATAAAAAGGTAAATAGCACACAATCACCGTATATTTGAAATCTAAAAGAATCTAACTCTGCTGGGTGGTAGTGGTGCACGCCTTTGATCCCAGCACTCGGGAGGCAGAGGCAGGGGGATCTCTGTGAGTTTGTGGCCAGCCTGGTCTACAAGAGCTAGTTCAGGACAGGCTCGAAAAGCTACAGAGAAACCCTGTCTCGAAAAACCTAAACCAAAATCAAAAAGAAAAGAAAAATCAAATTCAAAGAGAATAGAAAGGTGGTCTCCAAAAGCTACAGGATGAGAAAAATGAGATGTTAGCCAAATGTTACAAGTGTTTTGCCTGCATGTATGAATGTGAACCACATGTATGTGGCTGCTGCCCTTGGAGATCATAGGAGGGCATCAGATCCCTGGAACTGACGATTACAGAGAGTTGTAATTCACCATGTGGAAGCTGGGAACCAAATTTGGTTTCTCTGCAAGATCAACAATTGTTCTTAGTCTCTAGCCTTCTCTTCAGAACCTCTGATGTTACACAGAAGAATAGGACATGAATTTACGAGTGATCTGTGGAAGAACATTGGAGGAGTTGGAAGGATGGCTATGATGAAAACATATCATACTCATATATGAAATCCTCAAAACAGTATTTAAAAATGAATGCTTATAGCATAGAAAAATTAGCAGAAAAGTTAATATCATTCCATAAAAAATTTGATTCATAATATACCATTAAGACAGTGAAAATGGTCAGGTGGTGGTGGTGCACGCCTTTAATCCCAGCACTGGGAGGCAGAGGCAGGCGGATCTTTGTGAGTTCAGCCTGGTCTACAAGAGCTAGCTCCAGGACAGGAACCAAAAGCTAGAAAAACCCTGTCTCGGAAAAAAAAAAAAAAAAAAAAAACCACTTTGACTTTCATAAGAATAAAGCCAATTTAAAAAATTATTGACATTATCTTTGTGTGGTGGCTTGAAAAAGAGGAAAAGAGGGGCCCCCATAGGCTGATATATTTGAATATTTGGTTCCCAAGTTGTAGGATTATTTTAGAAAGAATTCCCTTTGGGGGGAAGTATGTCATTGGAGGAGGGCTTTGAGGTTTTAAAAGCAGGTAGTATTCCCAGTTAGCTCTCACTCCCTGCCTCATGGCTGTCTCAACATGTAAGCTCTCAGCTACTCTACCAGTCCCATGCCTGCCTGCCTGCCGCCATGCTCCTAGCCCTGATGTTCATGGACTCAACTTCTGAAACTGTAAGTCCCCATTAAACACTTCCATCTATAAGTTGCCTTGGTCATGTCTCTTCACAGTAATAGAAAAGTAACCAAGACACTTAAATAACAATTATTATGTACATATAATATATGGCATAGTATCTTGATATATGTATACAATGTGGCATGGTTGTAAGAATACAGGTAATATATCCATTGGCTTGCTTACCTGGTCAAAATATTTTAAAAGGTAACTTTTTTTTTAAAGAAATGGAAGATATACAAGATGATTCAAAGGGTAAAATGTTTTCTTGCAAGTTTAGTGTGGGGTGCCACACCCAAATAAGTTGGACCCAGTAGAATATGTCCGTAAATTCCAGCATTACTAGGGCTGGATGGGAGGTGGATACAGGAGAATCCCCGACAGTTTATGTAACAGATATCCTGCCATATACAGTGACAAACAAGATACCCTGTCTTTTTTAAAAATATTTATCATGTATACAATATTCTGTCTGTGTGTATGCCTGGAGGCCAGTAGAGGGCACCAGACCCCATTACAGATGGTTGTGAGCCACCATGTGGTTGCTGGGAATTGAACTCAGGACCTTTGGAAGAGTAGGCAATGCTCTTAACCTCTGAGCCATGTCTCCAGCCCCAAGATACCCTGTCTTAAACAACATGGAAGGTTAAGACGACACCTGTCCCTGTGTGTGTGTACACACAAATCTGGAAGCCAAAAGTCAGTCAAATGTCTTTCCTTAACACTCTCTATTATTTTTTTGAGAAAATCTCACTGAACCTGGAACCCAGCTATTTGGGTAGGTTGGCTGGCCGGCAGGATCTGGGGATCTACCTGACTCTACCTCCCCAGTATGAGGGTTACAGGCACTCACCACCAAGCCTAGCTTTTCATGTGAGTGCTAGAGATCTGAACTCATATCCTAGCTTGAGCTTCCAGTACGTTAGTAACTGAGCCATCTACTTAGTTCACTTATTGTACTATTTTAACCAGACTCAAGAATCAGGACTTTACAATGTATTATGACTGTCTCACTTTGGGAGGTTTAATAAAATATCCCCACAAAACCAGCCATGCCATTAAAAAAAAAGATTTTATTTATGTATTATGTTTACAGTGTTCTGCCTGCATGCCAGAAGAGGGCACCAAATCTCATTACAGATGGTTTTGAGCTACCATGTGGATGCTGGGAATTGAATTCAGGACATCTTGAAGAACAGTTAGTGCTCTTAACCTCTGAGCCTTCTCTCTAGCCCTGTCCAACTCTCCAGCCCCACCATTTCATTTTTAAAGATTCAATTTTATTTTGTGTTTTTCAGTGGTTGACCTGCATATATGTTAGTGCATCAAGTGCTTGCATGCTCAAGGCCAGAAGATAGTGTCATATTCCCTGGAACTGGAGTTACAGACTGCTCTTAGCTGTTACATGGGTGCTAGGCATGAAACCCAGGTCCTTTGCAAAAGCAGCAAGTGCTCTTAACCACTGAGCCATGTCTTCAGCACCTTTGTGCTGCTTTTCAAATTAGACAAATATATAAATGAGAATAACACAATGCAGTTATTAGAATTGTTAAAG